TCTCTCTCTCTCTCTCTCTCTCTCTCTCTGTCTCTCTCTCTCTCTCTGTCTCTCTCTCTCTCTCTCTCTCTCTTTCTTTCTCTCTCTCTCTCTGTCTGTCTGCGTGTGTGTGGGGGGGAGGCTGGGGATCAGACCTGGATTCTTGAAGTCCTTTAGGAATGCACTTTACCACTGAGTTACATCCCTAGCCCAGATGTTTGCCTGGATTAAACATGTCACTAAGGTTTTTTTTTGTTTTTGTTTTTTTTTAAAAGATGCTATTGAGAAGGAATATTTGTTCCTTTTGGTTACACTATTTTAACTACTGTATTTCCCATTTTTAGGAAGAGGAGGAAGAAGAAGAAAATAGGATGTCAGAAGAAGCAGAAAGACAATACCAACAAAACAAGCTGCAGGCTGATTCCACTGTACAGACAGACCAACCAGAGACAGCGGTGACGAGCTCATTTGTGAATATTAATTTTGAAATGGAGGAAGACTGTGAAGCCATTAAGGAAAACAAACAACGTCCAGTCTCTGTCCCACCATAGAATGAAATGACTGTATATAAAGTGTCAAACCCTAAACTTTCCAATCGGGAACTTTTTATGTTTTTAGTGGGATTTAAAACAACTATTTATATTTTAAATTATTAAGGGGAAATCTTTACACTGTATCTATTACAGTCAGGTCTGAAGTTGGGATGTTTTTGAGTTCAGTTAGTGACCCCCTTCCTAGCCCCATGCTGAGGAGCAAGCCCAGGCTCCTCTCAGATACACTCACTAGCCACATACTCTATCAGAAGCCCAGTGCTTTGATTTTAAGATGCTCTTTTATAAAACATAAGGACATGTAGCCAAACATGGTAATACATGCCTTTGATCCTGGCACTAGGGATGCAGACACAGTGGTTCTGAGTTTACAGCCAACCTGGTCAACATATGAGCTCCAGCTTAGCCACATGGTGACACTCAGTCTTAAAACAACAACAACAAAACCTGAAGGCATTCCACATTAAGAAGAGAGTTAAATAATTTATTAAGATTTTTGGTTTGGGGGCATTTTGTTTGTTTGTTTTTTAAAGGTTAAGTATTGATTAATCATTAATAATCCTAACAGCCTCAGTATAACGTGCCCCTGGATTTTACACAAGGAGGGTTCAGAATGTATAATAAAAGGAGCAAGATGGAAGCACTGTGGATTTCCTTTTGTTGAGAATATTATATGGAAAAGATTGGGTTTTCAGTAGTTACTGAATTGACTTGCAAGTTAACACTAGGTACTGAGTGGATCTGTAGCTGTGGTCACGTGTTGACACCTAGTGATTACCCACATGGCATCTTGGTCATGTCAACAGTTATTCAGCTCCTTATGTATCACAGGCAGCGGGACAAACGGGGGATGGACAGTTGAGAAGAGTTTACTTTGTTCACCATTTTGAAGTAGCAGTGGTAAGTCAGAGAGCTGACAGAAACCAGGTTTGGCCATTTCTCTTCTTACTAGGTTATTCCTTTAAAAGGTATATCATATGAAGCTACTTTTAAGAAATATTCCTGACTATGTGTTTAGAACCTTGTATCTGTATAACTTTGGTTTATAGCCAAATGAAGAAAAGAAAAATGGGGGCCGTGTTTTAGAGCTCCTCAGCGTTTAAAGCCTTCTCATAGCTCTAAAAGGTTTTAGAAACATGGCTATAAACCAGCCTGCTAAGTACCACGGCCCTTCCCATCTTAAATGTGTCTACCATGAAAACACGGGGAGGTGAACACTGTAGAGACCTGCCAGTGGACCTCAGCAAACTCAACTCAAAGGTGAATTATTTCTGAATAAAAGTTTCCGTTGGACTGGCGTTTGTAAGGCTCAGCAAGCATGGCGTTGTCCTCTAATGAGTTAGGAGCTGATAGCACCTTCTGGGTGGAAACATGCAACTTAGTCCTAGGAATTTCTCTTTCCATTGTGTAATTAATGTCACTATCAGTTACAGTTTACTAAAACTCTGTCTCGGTTGATACTTGCTAAAACATGCTGGCCTGACCTCTTGCTCTTGATTTGTTTTTAACTTTGAGACAATGCTACCACAGACACTTGTTTATGAGGTAAAGGTCTACAGGTGACTGAGGCTTTCTTTCCTGAAGGGCTAGCATCTCAGAGTGTATGCTCAGGCCTGTGATCACAGCATGAAAGTGGTACCATCCAAGCCTGAGCTTCCTGTGTTGACCTCTTTGCTGCTTGTTTGGCACTGGCTGGTGGGTGATGTTTACAGTTACTTGTGTGCCTTACATTTTTATACTTTGGTCTATATGAGCTATAAAATCATCATAAATGGGTTAAATTGTTGTTTTATTTTAAGCTTCCCTCACCTCTTCCTATTTTTCATTTTAAGCTTCCCTCACCTCTTCCTATTTTTTAATCCTTAGAAGAATTATTTTCCCTCTGGATCACAGTTCATGATATCCTAGTTTCTTCTGATCTCTCTTTTTATAAACACTGAGTACAGCCAGGTGTGGTAGTGTCCATCTGAACCCCAGGGGTAGGGAGGCTGAGGTAGGAGGATCATGAGTGGGAGGCTGGCCTAGACTACATAGCAAGACCCTTAACAACAAACAAACAATAACAAACAAAAAAACACAAACACATGAGTTAGTATACTGAATTAGTAAATTCTCTAGCAAGACCTTTAACAAAAGTTAGTTTTATAAATGGTTAATAAACCTAGACAAAATCTCATACAATCTGATGAGTTTAATGAAACAAAATATCTGTTTGAATACTTTCTTTAGAAACACTATATTTAAAAAACAAAAAAACAAAACAAAACAAAAAAACACTTGGGAGGGCAAGAGGACTCTGGGTGCAAATGCTTGCTGGGAAGCCTGAGAACCTGAATTTGCTCTCCAGAACCCACGTGGGGAAAGGAAATCACAACAATGTCTACTGACCTCCATGTGTGCTCTGGTGTACACACATAAGAAATACATCAAAAAACGAGAAAACAAACATTAGACATGGTGGCACTCACCTTTAACCTTGGCACTTGGGAGGCAGGGGCAGATCTCTCTTTAAGTTCAAGGTTAAAGGCCAACTTGGTCCACATAGCAAGTTCCAGGCCAGACAGGGCCACATAGTGAGACCATGTCTCAAAACAAACCAACCAAAACAACAACAGAAGTCACATCTAGAGCTTCTGAGGCCAGAGATGCAGTGGTGCTACTCTGATGGGAAGTCTACCGTCCGATGTTCCTGAGGAACAACTATTATAATCCCACATAAAAACTCCACATAACTCCATATAACCTCCACAGCTACCTACAGCAAATCTTACTTTCCATTTCTAAGCTAAACAGAACTAGAACTTACCACTTCATAAAAAACAATAGTTGGTTCTATTACTTTCAAGTTGTTCCAACTGTAACCAAAACTCTAGTAGGCTTGCAGTGCTGTACAGGCATGTGAGGAGTTTTATTTATAATGTGTCTAAGGATTCTGCTTCAGAGGTTTTGCATGCAGCATTCAGGCATCTTTATGAAGGAAGTCTGTTCTTGCAGAGATCAGGTATCATCAAGATCTGCAGAGTTCTCATTGTCATTTGCAACAAGGGCTTCTCTGTTCTCGTAAGTCCAGAAGCCATTGAGATCAATTAGAATGGTAGTGACTGTGTCTCCTTGATTACTGTTGATTAAATCCTGAAGTGAGATTTTCAAAGGATCCTTTGGTTTGACCATGTCAAAGATTTCATCCTATAAGAGGGAAAAATTATGAAAGCTGGTTGCAGTCACTTGTGTCACACAGTGGTGTAAAATTCAGGGTAGACAATTGACCTATTGTACAAATTTTTATTCTAGTTTCTTCTCCACCTGGTAGGTAGCTCTAACCACAGAATTTTCTTGGGCAATTCTTTAGCTGAATAACTCTTATTTTATAGATGAAGAAAACAGGCTCAGCTCAATCTAAACTCATAGCTAATAAAGGACAGAGCTCTCTAATACAGTATTCTTTGACTGCAACTAACTAGTTGTTACGGTTTTTATTGCCTTCTAATGGTGAAGCAAAGTCTTGACACAATTTTCTTTTTCACCCCCATCACTGGGAATCAAACCCAAGACATCTAGAATCAAGCCAGGCAAGCTATGTCACAATACCTTTTAAGTAAGAGCTCAGCTAAGTAGTAAAATCTCAAGTGGCTCAGAGATAGTAGCAAAGCTCTGTTTCCAGTAACTGTGCCTTTTACTCTTTTCCCAGTCTGAGAGGAATGGAACTCCATATGAAGGAATTAGTCATCCACAATAATGAAACTGTTCCAAGACTTAATTAGAATTCTGGAAAGAACCTCTTCTATGTTATCAAGTATATAATATAAATATTTGCAAGGCATTAACCCGTGTTTTCTAATCTTTTGTAGTAAAATTACTCTAGAACTTTTTTTTTAAAGATTTATTTATTTATTATATGTACACTGTAACTAGTTGTTTTCAGACACACCAGAAGAGGGCATCAGGTCCCATTGCAGATGGTTGTGAGCCACTGTGTGGTTGCTGGGAATTGAACTCAAAACCTCTGGAAGAGCAATCAGTGCTCTTAACCACTGAGCCATCTCTCCAGCCCCCACTCTAGAACTTTTAATAGCATTTAAAGAAGCAATTGCATTTTTAAAAAATTTAGAGTAACTCAGGTTCACAAAATACAAACTTTTAAAGTGTGTATTCTTTTTCCAGATTTGCTGAAGATTAAAATGCTGGTTCTTAAATTCCTGTTACAAAGTTTGAAATTTCCCCCATTTGTGTGTATCAAAATAGTTCTTCTGGCTTATTCTTCGTTAAAATTGGCCAGTCCTTTATTGTGTCAGTCAACTTGAACCAAAAAGACCCTACTGGATGACTTTTCCTAGCTGGCGAAACTGCTGACTAAAAGCCACATGTTCAAATAATGATGGTTTTCTAGATCTATATTTGTGTGTGTGCGTGTGTGCGTGTGTGTAAGTGTGCTCAGAGAGGCCAGTGGAGGGCCTCAGATCCCCTCGAGCTGGAGTTACAGATGGTTGTGAGCAGCCCAGCATATACCCCACATGCGTGCTGGGAATAAAGTGAAGTCTCTGACTCTTTTACCCGCTTTGCTGTCATTCTGGCCTTAAATAACGATGATTTTCATACTGAAAGATGAGTGTCTCTTTAAATTTAATAGATCAGTTATGCAGGCTCAGGCAGCACACTAAAGGGGCTTGAGCCTACACAGTCTTTCAGCTGGATGTTGGGTTTACAGTGAGAAGGAATGCTAAAGGATGCAAGCTAACTGACATTATTCAAATGAAATGAATGTTTTCATGAGAACACACGATTGATAAAGAAATTATCATCTTCATCAATCAGTAAGCCCAACTTTGTCTCCATCTCTGATGATCTAAGTCTCAGTTCAGAACAAGTAACAGCAAAAACCTGATTTGGAATGGTGTTTCATACTTCATAAATCACTTTCATACAAGATTGAATACAGCATTATTTAATGTTATTGTGGCTATATTATCTGACAGTAGTATATTGGCAAATAAAAGGGTAATAACCTTGACATCTTGAAATGAGACAGGATCCTGCCCATGGATTTTCATCAGTTCTTGTATGGCCTGTATTTAATGGAAATAAATCTGTAAATAAAAATTAAATTCATAAACCCCATAATACCCTTCTCCCCCGTCCAGTTCCAAGCTGTATATAAGCTTCCCAGTGTTGCTGTGCCTGCAGTCTTTCTGTGTCCACACTGGATGAGCAAAACCATGGACTTTCTATCTTTCTATGCTTACCTTTAGCAACTGAGAACTTGGGGTGAGGAAGGAGGGTTAAGACCGCAAACTGCTGTTACTACATGGAATGTTCTCCAGCCTCGGGTGGGCCCCCAACATGACCTTAGCAATTACTGTTATAACCGGCTTCTGGTTTTCACAAAGGCTTATACTTTCACATGTTTGGTTTTTTAAACTTTTAAATGTAAATGTATACAAATGTTTTGCCTGCATATATGTATGTGTACTGTATGTGTGCCTGGTAACCAAGGAAATTACGAAGTGTCAGATATCCTGGACCTGGAGTTACAGTGGTTGTAAGCCACCATGTGTGAGCTGGGAACTGAGGTCCTCTGCAAGAGCACCAAGTGCTGTTAACCATGGAGCCATCCAAGTCACCATTTTAAAAGACAGGTCCCTCTACTCACTTTCTCCACTTTCTCTACTTAGAAAACAACAGAGCTAGACTACCTAGACTTCTCCCTTTAAACTCAAAGCCTAGCGCAGCAGCACATGCCTGCAATCCTAGCACGCAGGAGGCAGAATGATCCAGAATCAGGTACACATTCAGTTAGATAGTGGACCTCAACGTATAGGCTTAGCCTTATCACTGTGACAGTGTTACACACGTTACGTATTATAGGGAGAAAAAAAAAACTAGCTATGAAAATGTGGCACAGTAAACACTACAAAACTATCCACACAATAAAAGGTGTTCTCATTCAAACTAAGGAATTGCAGGACCAAGGCAGATATTCGTATTTCCATTTGCTGGTGCTGAATGCCTATCATATATAATCAACTCCCCTTTAGAGACCATTATTCTGAGATCCAGTAAGGTCCATCCAAGGTAAGTACTTTAAATCTGTTGTAGCCTGAAGTATAGCACACAATTCTGGGGCTGGAGAGGTGGCTCGGTAGTTAAGAGCACTTGTTGCTCTTGGAGAGGACCCAGGGTTGATTCCCATTACCAACACAGTGGCACACTACCATCTATACCTCCTGTTTTAGGGAATCCAATACCCTCTTTGGACCTCCTAGGGCACCAAGTACATAACATGATGCTCAGACATAAATGCAGGCAAACGCTCATATACATGAATCTAAAGAAATTGAAAAATGTTTTCTTAAAGCAACTAAACTGACTAATGTCTGAGATTTTCCTGGAAAGGAGCTAGGTATTTACATTTGTTACTGATGACCAAAAGCACAGAATCTCTCCTCCCCAGCCATCTAGCTAAGCCATTCACATTTGCTTCCATAAGAAAATGCTGAACAAGTTAACAAAATCAGCTTTTACTTTATCATTATATATTTCCTAAATGTAGACGGAAAAAAATAGGCTTGATTTACATTTTAAGTCTATTCTTTTAAAAACAAGCTAAGTAAAACTGTTAGTACATAATTTAAAATCAAATAGTTTAAGGTATCTTAGGGGCAACAATGCTCCTTCACCCAAACCATACTCACCCTAAAGAAATAATTAAGGGAAAAGACATTCAGGTATCCCTTGTTCTCAATGTCCAGCAGTTTGAAAATATACTGCAGAGCTGCAGGCTCCTTCCTGTTTTCTAAGGCAAGAACAAAGTCCAGGTAGGTCTTATAGTCCTACAGAGAGAGAAAGAGAGAGAGAGCATTCATACAGAGTCTTGAGTGAAATTAAATAAGGATCTGCTGAGATGAAGTTACTTTGTAATCACAGATGGCAAATTCAACTATTTTTAAAAATATGAAATAAATCCATTTATGCATGTAGTGTTGGTTTCTAGGAATTCTAAGTAGGCATTCTGTAGGACAGTTTTGAGAGACCCAGCTCACTTTCCTTGAGAGATTTGCTTAAACTATAATTTCCTTCCATTATACTATAAATTGTCAAGACAGTGATTAAGCTAATTTGCTGCCATTCATTTATATCTTCATGTCAGTGTTGTTTCTCTGAAGAATCTATTTTCTCTAGAATAGACATCAGTCTATTTAAATTGACGACTCAGAAGCCACTCATCCATGTCTGTGGGTCACATCAACCGTGGGCTGAAAGTATTTAGGAAAAAATGTTAATTTTCACCCATCACAGACTCTTCCTGTCAGTAGTTAAACAACACAGTACAATTACACAGCATTTCTATTGTATTAGGGATGCACGAAGCTAAGTCTGCAAGTGCACTGGAGCCAGAATGGATTCTGGAAGCAGTGTACAGAGTCAGGTCTCAGCTGGCTGGCACATGCCTGTATCCCAGCGCTTGGCAAGCTGAAGCAGTGAGTTCAGCTGAAACCAGCATGGGCCTACATGATTATTTCTCCAAAATAAAAGAAAAAGGAAACCAAAAGATTTTCAGTAGGATGAAGAGGTGGTTTAGTTGGTAAAGTGCTTGCCTCACAAGCACAAGGACATGAGTTCAAATCCAGTCCCAGGTAAAAACGTCCAGGATTGTGGCATGTGCTTGAACTGATCAGACGGCGCTGAGGATCCTAAGGGTTTGGTGGCCAGCCAGTCTACCTGATTAGAGCCTCCCAGCCAACCAGAGATCCTGTCCCAAGACAGACAGCAGTTCTGAGGATGACACCTCAAGTTGTAGACCTCTAATACACACAGGCATGTAAACTCACACATACAAATATAAAGATTTAAAACTATGACTGGAAGCTAGAAACATGAAAAGAACAGATTGTTTAACCCTTGCAAAGGGGACATTTGTAGGTTATGTGTTTATATGTTTATTAATTTTGCTTGTTGAAACTGAGTCCCACTCACTCCAGGCTGTCCTGGAACTCACTACATGGCTCAGGCTGGCTTCAAACTCAAGGAGCTTATGTCTTGGCCTCCTGAGTTCTGTGATTACTGATATGAGTCACCATGCCTGGCAGAATACTTGTCTTATATGATAAAAAGGATAGGAAAAGAGATTCACACTCTTGAAAAAGATTTTGTAGGATATGCTAAAGAATGGTTTCCCATAAAATTGTAGCATAAGAAATTAAGGAAGGGGCATGAGGATTTAGTTCAGTTGTTACAGTGCTTGCCTGCACCCAAAAGCAGCTCTGGACTAAATCCTCAGCAAAGAGTAAACAGGGCATGGCTGAGCACACCCGTAATCCTAGCACCGAGGCCAGCTTCAATGCCAGGACATCCTGCCTTAAAAAAGCAAAACAAGACAAGAGTTAAGGGAGCTGGGGCTTCATCAAGGCTTAACCCATCCACTTACTGCCCTGGTCTGTGCTATTCACCGGAAGACACCCGTTCACCGTAAGTTCAGCAGTCTATGTCAAGACCCTGGACACTTCTCCTTTGCTGCTGGCCAAGAGTAGTGCTGCCTAACCTGCTTGCACCAGTGGCACAGTACAATGTATGAGCTCACTCTTATCTGTTTGACTACTTCCTAAGCAGTCTTGGCCGGGAAAATGATGTCTCTACTACATTCCTCTAGTTGTTTTAAGATGCTCTATTAGTGCTCAACCTACCTAATGCTGCCGCCACCCTGTAATACACTTCCTCAGGTTGTGGCAACGCCATAACATTATTTTCATTAATACTTCATAACTGTCATTTTGGTTTTGTCATACTACAAATATCTGTTCTCTGATGGTCTTGGGGGGTAGGGGGGGGGGGGGGGGTCCTTGAACCATTGTTCTATAATCTGTGGTCCATCTGAATTCAAATTTAAAATTCTTCTGCCCCATTTTTCTGTTCTGGGATTATAGGTGTGCATCACCTTTCCTAGCCCCTCTAAAATTTATTCTGTGGCCTTTGGTTGTTGTTGTTTTTTAAAATAGGGTATCATACAGCTCAGACTGACCTTAAACTCATGACTTTCATGCCTCCATCCACCAAGTGTTAGAATTATAAGCTTGACTTCTATGTGTTTTTAATAGCAAGAATGGCGATTTAAAAAAAAATTATCTATTTTCTGCATAGTGGTACACCATAGCTATCTTCAGACACACCAGAAGAGGGCATCGGATCCCACTACAGAGGGTTATGAGCCACAATGTAGTTGCTGGGAATTAAACTCAGGACCTCTGGAAGAGCAATCAGTGCTCTTAATTGTTGAGCCATCTCTCCAGCCCCAAGAATACTGATTTTTAAAATGCTATTTTTCTTCTCAAAATTTTTCTTCTGAAAGCTAGGTGTGGTGCATCTTTAATCTCAGCACTCAGAAGGCAGACGCAGGTGGATCTCTGTGAGTTCCAAGTCAGTGAAGGCTACAGAGTGAGATATTTATTCATTTATTTATTTATTTATTTACTTATTTATTTAAAAAAGCTATCTTGTTAGGCATGGTGGTATATACTTCTAATCCCCAGCACCAGGGAGGCAAAGCCACATTTGAGTCTAGACTGACATAGTAAGTTAAAGGCCAACCAGACCTCTCAGTGAGACTCTCCCCTCCTCAGAAAAATAATTGTCTTCTTCAAGTGTTTTGAAAACACTAAAGGGAATATTTAACAAAATATCTACCTCTTATGACATCTGTATAATCTAAGATGTAAGTTCTAAAACTAACTGTAACTAGATGTCCATGTATTTTAAGAGAGAAAAGGACAATTACAAGTTAGTTATCTTCAGCTATTAATGCAGACACAGAATCCACTAGGACACTGGCTGGCTATGGTAGCTTCGCACCTAGAACCCCAGCACTTACGAGACTTCAGGAGTGAGGACACAGTAAGTTCTAGCCAGCCTGTGCAACAGAGGTAGCCTCTGTCTTAACTAATTAAGGCAATGGGCCCGATTTAAATCATAGCATATGTGATCTGTGTCAGACCTGGTAATTTAATGACTGACCTATTTATACAGAAATGGTTTACAGAATTTACTGATTGTTCGGTTGACACTTCTATACCTTAGGTACACTGTCAATGAATGAAAAAATATTCCACTGCCCAGCTGAAGGTACGTATAACTGAATTTCCTGAAGAGTAGACTCAGCAAGTCAATAATTCCATTGATTTAATAGGTTTTTTTTGGTTGGTTGGGTTTTTTGTTTTGTTTTATTTTGTGTTTTGTTTTTTGAGACAGGGTTTCTCTGTATAGCCCTGGCTGTCCTGGAACTCACTCTGTAGACCAGGCTGGCTTCGAACTCAGGAATCCGACTGCCTCTGCCTCCTGAGTGCTGGGATTAAAGGCGTGCGCCGCCACTGCCCAGCAAGTTAATAGTTTAAGATCCTGTTCCACACTGATATTAATAATGCTCAAGAAAGCCAGGCATGCTGGCACACTCCTGCAGTGCTGGCAGTTGGGATGGCACGACAGGAGGATCAAGCTCAAGATCATTCTTGGCTACAAATCACGTTCAGTGCCAGCATGGCCTACATGAGGCCCTGCTTTTAAGACAGACAAACAAAAATTGTTGATTTATGTCAAGAAAATAGCTTATGGAAAGTGTAGGAGCCTAAAGTGTGAACTCAGCAGATTTCAGTAAGTACCATTTCTCCATCGTAAGTGAGACACTCCTGGAACACACGGTCTAAGAAGACGCTGGTCATGGTGGCTGTCCCGTACCGGGAGAGTTCTTCTTTACTCAGCATGCCGTTATGATCTTTATCAAGATTCAAATACTGACCTTGCAAGAAAGAACACAAGATGACACTGAAAGAAGACTAATGAAATTCAGTAAAACCAAATCACTCCCGAATACCCCTCTGTGCGAATCCTGACAACCGCATTTGGTCACAAAATAAGACAATAGCTGTTGTTCTCAGATAAAGAAAAAGGATCAGATTACATTGTTCTACTGAAAACCAAGCATAGGAACTATGGAGGAGTTCCAAACGTTCAAACATTAGCAATGTAAGAAGTACATCTTCATAGCCTACAGTAGTGATCCTGAAGTGGTGGGAACAGTGTGGTGTGAGGCAGACAGCCTGCGTGCATACAACAGTTCTCTCAACACCCGTCCTGTGAGGACTCCACAGTGGAACTTTAGAAACCAGAGCCTACCATAGACCCTCAGGGCAGAGGGAGCAGAAAACCAATTTGTTTCTTGACTTTCTTTGGACAATTCCTCATCTCTTAGCTAAAGAAACATAAAAATATAATTAGAAAATAGCAATTATCATGTGATAAAATTTAGTTCAAAAAATATTTACCTCCAGTAAATCATCTAGGAAGCTGCATGCTAAAATATCTTGAATTTTGATCTTCCCTTAAAAAAAATACAGTGAGACTCAATTTCATTTTGAGAATGACTTCTTTTAAAAGACGTTATTTTACAAAGGCAAGCCTATAGTTGATATAATAAACAGCTAGACTAGCACACAAGCCAAGTAAAACAAACACACTCCAAACAACAAAAAGACAAAACAGACCCCAACGACTCTCTGCACATCTGCTTGGAAGCCTCCGACTGGAAGGAGCTCAGCAGAAAATGCCCACTAAGATCATGCTATCAAAACCTACAAAAGGCAAGTCAGCCTTCCCCACAGCGGTAGTGCTGGCAGCGAGGGGTGGGGCTTATAGCTCGGAAGTTGAAGGCTAAGGCTCATCCTTCTGAAAGAGTCTCTAGCACCTGTGCCATCAAGGTCATCAAAGTCGAGCTTTCCAGCTTTCCTTTTGCCAAGTGTGGTGACGCACTTCTTTAAATCCCAGACACTCAGGAGACAGAAGCAAGCGAATCTTTGTGAGTTCAAGGCCAGCCTGGGCTATATACACTATATCACTAATTAATTAACTAATTAAATAAAAGGGTATAGCTAACTTAAAAACTGGGGGTTTCTATGAGTATACTGATAAAAGTGTATTTACTAATCTGGCCACCACTCAAGAAAAGAGAAAGAATACCTTATAAATAAATGACTTCCCAATACGAATTTCTCATAAAGAAGAGAGCAACCACCCAGAATGTCATGAACCACAGGCATCATGCAGAACTGGAAGAAGCAACAGTGACAGGTCTCCTGGGACACACTGTAGCTCTGGCTGTCTTGGAACTCACTATGTAGACCAGGCTGGCCTTGAACTCACAGAGAACTGTCTGCCTCTGCCTCCTGAGTGCTGGTATTAAAGGGCTACACCACCATGCCCGGCATGAGGGAAATTCTTAAGAGGGTAGGTGTTGAATAGAGACGGTTTGAATAGGAACGGCCCGCTTGGCTCATATATTTGAATGCTTGTTCATTAGGAAATGGCACTACCTGACGTGGATTAGGCCTTATTGAGGGAAGTGGGTCACTGGGGAGGGAGGGGGTTGAGGTTTCAAATGTTCTAGTCCAAGCCCAGTCTCCCTCTCTTCCTGCGGCCTGTGGATACAGATGTAAAACTCTCAGCTGCCTCTCCAGCACCATGTCTGCCTGCACGCTCCCCACCAGGATGGTAATGGACTACGTAAGCCTCTGAACCTGTAAGCCAGCCCCAGTTAAATGTCTTCCTTTATAAGAGTTGCCGTGGTCATGGTGTCTCTTTACAACACTGAGACAGGTGACATCCCACCACTACACAGCTGGTTACAGTCAATCCAAGAATATTTTGGAAGCTCATTCTATAAGTGAAAGTATGTGGGCTTGTACACTTGCCCATACGCTGAGATTTGCCAGATTATGCCACTGACTTTAAAAACAAAGAGAAATTGTTGAAATGTGTCTAATACTAAGACAGCATCAACAAATACTATACCAATATTTAAATTAGATAATGTTTTTTTTACCTGTTCTAAGAGGATCCAAAAAGAAGAAGAACTTCCTAACTGCCGTACAAACATAAAAGGAGTAAAAGGACTTTTCCAACCCATCTAGCTGTGGCAAAGTAGGGATGAGTTCCAGAATGTAGTTCTCTAAATCCTGGGAACAAAACACAGCGCTGGTTAACTGTCTTGCCTTGACTTCCTGCTATGACAGACTGGAAGCTGGAACTGGAAGCCAAATAAAACCCTTTATCCCTTAAGATTGCTTTGGTTGAAACATTTTATTACAGCAAAAGACACAATATTAAGACATCAAGTTATTACATTTAAAACTCTCTGGCACCTCCCTGTATTCCTAGTATCTGGGAGGAGGTAGAGGGCAGGAGGATCACTGCAAGTTCAAGTCCAGGTTGGCTACAAAGGCTGCAAAGTGAGACTCTGTCTCACAAAATCCAAATTAACAAATACAAGTCTCCTTACCATTTTATATTTATTTTAACAACCTTGTTTTGCTCTAACTATTTGAGCATATGCCTGGTAGATCAGAGACTCTAAGTTCATAAAGGAACAGGCACTCAGACCCGGTGTCTAAACTCAACTCTTCCCAGCAACTCACAGCCTCCGTGGGCTTCCTTTCATTCCCCACTTTATATTATCAAAATCAAATTTAGGACTCAACTTTGATTTCTACAGTTCCTTTCCCAGGGTCCCATTCCCTATACCACACATCCAACCTAGCAGCAAGGCCTGTGATTTCTTTCATTTTTTACTTTCTTCTTTCCTTTCTGCTGCCCTTTTTTCCTTCCTTCCTTCCTTCCTTCCTTCCTTCCTTCCTTCCTTCCTTCCTTCCTTCCTT